TTATGTTTCCAATAGCCTCTTATCAAACTTACCAGCTAGATGGATGCTCCATTTTCCACATTTTCTTTTCATTTTCCACATTTTCTTTTCATTTTTTTTTGCGATTTTCAAGTCTTTTTAAACAGCAAAAGGTGTGAAGCTCTCTCAAGAAATTACTTCACTGAGAAGATCCTGAGAGAGAGATTTGTCAGCATGGAGCCAAAAATTAGTTGCAACATTTCTATCCGTGGTCAAATTTAAGATGAACATTGGGCAACCCATAGACCATGACACATGGAAAATTTGGCCTACCCCCATTTCAGTAACCCAAATAAGAAAAACCCCAAAGATGAGAATTTTAGGCATGGCCACTGAGATTTTTCACTACTAAATCTACACGTCAATTTCTAGGTGCCAAATTTAAATCATAAAGTTGTTGAAAATTTGAAATCCTGAAAAACAAAGCACCACTTAATATGATGTTTGTTGGGGTAGGTGAATGTGCCCCAAGAACCTCAATACCCTAACAACGAAGCCAACTCATTAGTTACTAACCTAAATAAAGAGATGCCTCATCAGGAATAAGATAGCTTTTGCCCCTAAAAGTTGGTTAAACTAAGAAAAAAAGTGATGAGGTTAACTTGTTTTTAGGGACAAACTTTCAAGGGCGAAAGGTTGGTTAAACTAGAAGGGCCAAACTAGATTAGGAAAATTGTTTGATGCAGTGTCAACCGCATTTCTACATATGCGGTCCATCTAAAAACAATTGGAACTAGCCATCCAAATGTTTTCTTAATAAAATTATTATTATTTATTTTTAAAATTTATTTATTTTTTCATATTCATGATCTCCTTGTTAGAGATTATATGCCCTTGAAAATTAAGTCCAAAAATCTATCCCAAAAATAGATTTTTAAGAGGTGACTCATTTCTACATGGACTCGTTAAATCCGTGTCCACTAGATTGTTCCAGTGAACATAGAGGACGGGTATTTGTTTTGAGGGAAAAGTTTAAATAAGGTTACAACCTAAAAATGTACAATCATAAATGCGTTTAAAAAATCTATCGGAAATGAATGTTGAAAAAACCCTCTAATCGATCATCTTGGCATCAAAATGTATGAATATGAAAAAAAAAAAGTTTTTGAGTCCCGAAAATATTGCGTCTTGTAATGAAAAGACTTTATGATAAAGTACGGTGTATATATTTAAAAAAATTCTTTATTCTTACGTTGGCAAGATCACTTACAATGTCCAATTACAATCAAACCATTCTTGAAAAAAAATAAAAATCGGTTCTCAATTGCTACCTCTTCAAATAGAATTTTTTATTCAACAAACAAAAGTAGACTTTTATTGCATTATGGGAAAAGAAGATCAAAACGTAACTAAATATTTAAAAAGGTAAAATTGTCGGATATTACCTCAACCGGCCTTAGTACACTCCACGCCGAGTCTTTTCCTTCCAATGGTGCTCGGGATCTGTGATCAGTAAGTTGATTTCCCTATTATGGCAAAAATCCACTCAATGGCCTTGATTTTAGAGACAAGAGAGATGAATATCAAGAGAGTGGGAAAGATCTACTAACAAGAGGTTTACCCCTTTGCCACCCATAAATACGTGTGCCACCCAAAGAGAATTTCCCAAAGATAAAAAGGATATACCCAAAAACAACTTGGAGAGAGAGAGAGATGAAATTGGGACGTGCATCAAAATTGGGTCGTGCCTCCCTTTTGTAATTCAAAGTCAGTTCCAGAGAGAGCTAAATTTTGGGGTAGGGAGAGAATCCGTAAGTTTATGAAGGAGATACCTCCTTTTATAGATCTTCTATGCCATAGATTTTGCCTCAATTCGTATGATCAAATTTGAACCGTCGATTAGGGAGACTTGTGAGGTGAGAGATTTGAGCCATCTACTTCATTCATCCACCATCAAAATTCAAAGAGATGAGCTAGAACCTTATCCTCTATTTCCTAAATTTATTCCCATCAAATAAAAAAAATTTATATTTTAATATATCTAATCCTTAATTATTTGATCAATCAATTTTGATTCAAATAATTAGTAAATATCTCAAATATTCAACCTTATCATATAAATTGGCTATACCTAAAACGATAAGCCAACCAAGAGCATCCCAATAATGTTATGTGAATGGGTGGGGCGTGCCACCCTTTTGGTGGCTACGTGTGGGCCCCACCTAATCCACATCTTTTTAAATTTTGGGTCTTATATTTTATGAAGATCCCAAATATTTGTTTAGAAAATATTTTATTTCATATTTATAATTTTTTTAAAATATTACATTTTATTTAAACATTAAAAATTAATTTCTCTTAATTTATAAATTCAAATGACAAAAATAAAATATCAGAAGATTTATAAAAATTCAAATAAACATTCTAAAAATCACAAGCATAAAATTAATTAATTTTGATCGAAATCGGATATGTTAGATCTAGGAAATTATGGAGAAATTATGGAGCACTCCACCTTCAACTGCGAATCACAATATGCCTAACTTTCTCAAACTGACTTAGCAGTTCCCATGACCCACAGTTCACTGCAGGGGTTCATGATTGGACCACTAAAATCTGCCAATAAACTAAGAGACGCAATTCCAATTTATGGATTTTAGGTTCTTCCTTAGAGACAAAAATCATAGTCATCCAGATCATGATACAACCATGACTCTATGATGTATAGGAATAATCTCCTATACATGTACATGCTTTACCCTCATTGGTGAATATTAAAATGGCTATATATGTATATGTCGTGTGATGATATAACGATGATGTTTTAGCCTTGTCTCTAAAGGCTATTCATGACACGCAAGGGCCACACAGTCCCTTGGCTCTCATCTGGGCATACTCCGACCTCATCAAGGGATAACACACTAAACCCTTCTCGGTAGATCCATATGCCCAGGTATTTTGGGTTTTTTCAAACCTTGGCTGGCCTATCTTGTCGAGCCTAGTCCGAGTATCAGCAAAGATCATTTGCCTAGTATGATCTACAAAAGGACCACACTCCCACTGAATTTATGTTTCATTTATTAAATATGTTTTACACAGCTTCTGAAAAGGTTTTTAAAGGCCGCATAAACCCAACATGCAACACATTATCTAGACCGTTCATTTTCAAGATTTTCATATATTTATAGATCAACTTGATTTTAACCACTCTTAGATTTTAAAATTTCTTAATTAGGTATGAAAATAGATTTTAAAATAATACTGAAATTTTTTTACAACAAAATTACATATTATGATAAAATTTTAACGTGCGCCTATTTAAGGTTGCAACCTTATATAAACCTCAGCCTTGTTTTTAAGCCATGTGACCCTTGTCCCCTTGAAATCATCATATGGGTATTAGGGAAATTTAAAGCTTACAGCAAAAAAACAAATCCTAACATGCCGGAAATTAACGTCTTCTATTTTACTGTTAACCATTCAATCACACGTAGGTGTTGTACGTGAAAACTAAAAAACAGTCAAATAATAAGGAAGCTTTTGGGTACATTTTACTATTAGCCATTCAATTCGTGTTGAAACCTAAAAGCAGTCAAATAATAGGTTTGCTTTTTGAAATCATCAATCATGTACAGGAGAAAGAGAGACATCAATAGGGGACAGGACGAAAAGGAGAGAGAACCAGTGTTGGAAAGGCGGACTCTTCCCTGGAACCCGGTACTGGGCTGGGCCGCATCTGTGTAACTCGGCCTGAGTGGGGCAGGTCCTGGCCAGACCAAGACATGTTAAATAAATAAATAAATAACAAAGATTCCAAAAGTCTAAAATATAAATTTAAAGTAAAATTAAACATAACACATTTAAATAAGGTTAAAAAAATAGTGAAAAATAACCTTAGGTAATTTTCTATTTTAAAAATAATCAAAAAAAGAAAAAATAAATATTCATGGCCAAATCACATATCAATGTTACAAATAAATTTTTTACTTTTTATTTGTGTAATTTTTTGAATTTTTTTTTAGATCCCAAGACCACCAAAGTTAAGATACTTGGGCTTGCCATGGTAGTGAGAGCCTGAGTTACTCAGCTCTTGAGCTACTCCCAAACTTGTGAGAACCGTGAGTGAGAATTGATTAACGGGAGAGAGGATGAAAAAGAGAGTAAAGAATGTAAATGAGAGAGTTGTGACACAATTCTGAAGTGCAATTTTGGCTACTATATATTTTTAAGAATGAAGTTGGGGTTATGGTGGTAGCACCACTTGTGCCGCAGTTAATGTTTAGGTTTTTATTCTCATTTAATACATTAAAAAATCGCTAACGATTTTAAAAAACGGGTAAAGGTTCGTGATCCCTACTAAATTATTAAATAAATAAATAAATAAATAAAAAAAAAAAAGAAAAAAAAAAAAACAACGGTGTTGTGAGAGAGAATAAAAATGACAATGTAAGAGAAGAAACGACAAAGGGCAATGCGAATAAAAAAGAAAAAGAGAGAACGAGAGGCACTTTTACTCTTTAGAGAGGAGTTATGGTGGGGTATGTCCCTACAAAGGCAGGCGCACAGATATCCGGTAGTTAGATAGATGGTAACCAACCGCCGGTGTGGTATGACGTGCCGTCCGGCCATAAATCCGGCCAAACACACCATCTAAACATGTCCCTAACTCTAATCTACCATCCATAAACATGTACAAAAGAAAAATGAGCATCGCTAAACCTGGACCTCTTCTTTAAGCTTCTGTCTTAATTCAACGCGAATGGAGCTAGGCCTGTTCCTTGTGTCCCAACCTTGAGAATCTTTCTCGAAATCAATGAAAGATAACTCATAAAATATCTCTCTAAATTAATGAACGATAACCCCCTCGTTCTCTCTCTAAATTAATGAAAGATCACTCCCTCTTTCCCTCTAAAATATCTCTCTTAACTCCCTCTTTCTCTGTCCAAATTATCTCTCTTAACTCTCGTTCTCTCTCTAAATTAATGAAGGATTATGGTTGCGAAAAATAAGATCCCAATTCAAAAGACTTGCCTTATTATACAAAGCGTGCACAGATCTATAAACTCCTCTCTCTCTCTCTCACTCACTCTCTCTACATTCGTGTCTCTCCATTTCTCTCTCCCCTTTCTGTTTCTATGTCCTGGGTTCTTGCTCCAATGGCTTTTCCTTCGTCTCCTTCTCCATCTGTGCAGTGCAAAGTAAGGAAAGCATAAAGTTCGTCGAAATAGCAGCCTTTGAAAGTGGGCTCTTTACTCCCCTTCTCTCCTTATTTCTTTATTCTGCAACTAAAGAGAGCGAAAGGAAAGTGAAGGCCTCGAACCACTACAGAAACTTAGAGAGAGAGGAAAGTGAAGGCCTCGAACCACTACAGAAACTTAGAGAGAGAGGAAAGTGAAGGCCTCGAACCACTATAGAAACTTAGAGAGAGAAAGGAAAGTGAAGGCCTCGAACTCCTCACAGAACAAAGAGAGAACTTTTTCTTTTCATCTCTGTCTCGTTTTCTGAGCCTTGTTGATGGGTTGCTCACAAAGCATCATTGATTCAGACGAGAGGGATGAGAGCGCAGAGCTTGGAATCTCAGTGGGGTGCGATCCAAACATGAAAGTTACAGGAAAAAAAAAGATTTGGGGCTTTCGCCTGCTCTTTGTAGGCAAGCTCAGAACTCAACAAAATGAAGAGGAGAAAACCAACAAGGCATGGTTGCTTGGTGATTCTGAAGATGGAGAATGTAGAGAAATCAGTGGAGTTATTGAGTGTTTGGAGCCTCAATCTGTTCACTCTTCATTTCGTTTCAGCTTTGGTTCTCAAATGGAGCTGGAAGGCTTGAACCCAACTGTTCTTTTGGTGAATCTAGAGAGAGAAACAGGGGCCAAAAGTCATGAACCAGCTTCTATGGAATCTCAATGGAGGAGGATCCAATCTCTAGAGCGTAACATTTCCCCTGTTTCTGAGAAGCTCACTAGATTCAGTTACTCTGAGGTCCAATCTGCTACAAAAAATTTCTCAAGAGGTGGTCTAACTGTTCCCCATTCTTTATTTTCACTGCAATTAAATTTGAGAGCTATGGTTATAAAACTGATTTTTTTTTTTTTTTGTGCGGTAGTTTCTATTTTTCATTCAATTGTACCCAATCTTTTGTTTACTTTAAATATTAGAGCTTTATCGACGGAATTGCTCTCTTCATTTTATGGGTTAAGTTCTTATTGTTTCTATAAATTTACCTTCTGGTATTTGTTTGGTTTGGTGGTTTTATATGGCGGATTTTTTTGTTTTTTTGCAGAGAGAGTGTTGGGAAGAGGAGCTCATAGCCTTGTTTACAGAGGGAATTTAGGATTTGGGCGTTTCGTCGCAATAAAATGTTTGGATAATGACGATAAAGAGTCAGGGAAGGCTTTCTGTAGGGAGTTGCAGATTGCTGGTTCTCTTGACCATGGCAACATTGTTCCACTCTTGGGCTTCTGCATAGATCCATTGGGTCTCTTTCTTGTTTACAAATTCATCTCTGGTGGAAGCTTGGACCACCATCTACACGGTATTGCTTTAAAGTTTAAACTCATTCCCAATTTCCCAAAATCTCTCTCTCTCTCTCTCTCTCTCTCTCTCTCTCTCATGCGACACCCAATACTGAAACAATGTATGCTGAAACAGAATGTGTACTCTGTTTTCTTCTTTAATTTTTGAACTTGAACAGTTTTTAGCAAAGAAGTTGACTGTATTTTTGTTCTGTTTCTTATATGCGGTTAGTTTCATATTTCAGTTTGATATTCCTCTCTCTCTCTTTCTCTCTCTAACCATTGTGGATAATGATGCAGAAAAGAAAGGTAAGAGCTCAATGGCATGGCCAGTGAGGTACAAAGTGGCAGTTGGGGTGGCGCAGGCTGTAGAGTATCTCCATTATGGCACTGACAAGTGCGTTGTTCACAGAGACATCAAGCCGTCCAATATCCTCCTCTCATCAAACAAAACAGCCAAGGTTTAGTTCTTCACTCCCTGTAACAATTCATATTTAAGTTTATGATTGATTATTTAGATCAATTTGAAACCAAATTTAAGTCTGAATTTCAACATATGTTGCAGTTATGTGATTTTGGGCTGGCTACTTGGACTGAAGGAGCCTCAATCCCCTTCCTTTGCAAGACTGTCAAAGGAACGTTCGGGTACGCATAAAATCGAGCATTAACATAAAAGGGGAAATAATTCAGTTTGTATGTTTTACCCACTAGGAAATTACTGTAGCATTTCTCCTATTCAGCTTATACTTTGTAACCATTGTTGGGTGGTGGAATTTGGTCTAGTATGGACAGGTTTTACATTCCCTAAACATAAACTTTTATCAGTGTCAAAACCTTCACATCGTGGTTCGATCTTACCATAGGCATGAATTATTTTACATGTTTTAACTTTCAAAACAGGAAATTCTATGTGTTAATCTGACCAACTGTATATGTTGTCCAACCCACATTGGACTTCGATGAATTGACTACTGAAACAGACAATTCGTTCACCTAAACGTGAGCCTTTCTGTTATCCACATTGTAAATTTCGATGTTTAATGACTGCAAACAACAGATTGTGTTCCCCTATAACTCAAATATCTACCTCTCTTTTGACACAAATGTCTTTGTTAACCTACAGGTACTTGGCCCCTGAATATTTCCAGCATGGTAAGGTGTCTGAGAAAACTGATGTGTATGCATTTGGAGTGGTGTTGCTAGAGTTGATAACGGGGCGGGAGCCCATAGAAAACAAAAGGCCACCTGGTGAGGAGAACTTGGTATTATGGGTAAGTCAATAATGGTTGGTTAGATTGGGTGGATTCTTAGCCTTTCTTGTGAATTGGGATATTGAATTTTGAGAGATGTCGACAATTTGCAGGCGAAGCCTCTCCTTCATGGCCAACACATAGATGAACTCCTGGACCAACGGATAAGGCTCGAGACCCGTTACCGGAAGCAAGTCCAGAGAATGGTGCAAGCTGCCGCCTCTTGTTTGAGCACAGAGGAGGCAAGGAGGCCTTCTATGGCAGAGGTTGCGAGGTTATTAAGAGGGCGTGACGAGAAGTTCTATAGTGAGAGAGAGTATAAAATCGGACATTACCACTCCCTTGAACAATTTGAGCTCAGGAATGAGATTGAGGGCCATATGGCCTTGGCCATGATGGGTGTAGCTGATCTTGAAGATGATCACCAGAACAGAGTGCAGCATCGCGGGTGATGTCACCCATTGACTCCTTAATTCTTTTGAGCTGCCATTTTTTCTTTTGCTACCCCAAGAAAAATAACTGTCTTGGTTATTTTTCTTTCCTATTTTTCTTTTGGGTAGTAGATTGAATTACCCTTACAGTTGTACATAGAGAAGATGGGATTGTAACCAGGATTGTTGCGAGTGTTGTTCCTGGTTTTCTTACAAAACTGTAAAAGACTCTCTCTCTCTCTCTCGCTCTCTCTCTCTCTGCTGTTGCTTCAGGTTGGGGGTGAAACCTCAGCCATATTCGTGCATTGACCGATGACGTTTGATTGCAAAGTTTACAAAGGAAGATAGTGGGGCTTATTCTTTTAATGCAGCATTTACTTATGGGTGCGGTCTTTATAAGGTTGCAACCTTAAACAATCCAATCAAGGCGCATCTCCAAATTTTATCATAACATGTAATTTTGTCCTAAAAATTTTAGGATTTTCTTAAAATCTATTTTCATATCTAATTAGAAAATTTTAAACTCCAGAAATAGTTAAAATCAAGTAGATCTATAAATATATGAATATCTTGAAAATGGATGGTCTGGATAATGTGTTGCAAGATGCATTATTTTTTAGACTAAAAAACTTTTTTTTTTTTAATATTCATACGTATTGATGTCGAAATGATTAATTAGAAGGCTTTTCAATTGTAAAACAACATTTCCGATAGATTTGTGAGTGCATTCTTAATTCCACCTTTTAAGGTTGCAACCTTATATAAACTTTTCCCTTTCCTTATAATGGAGGCATGTGCAATGAAAGTCGGTTTGATTTAATAAGAAGCTGGTCCCATTTCTTGGCCATGTGATCCCTCATTCAATTGCTGGTTCAAATGCATCATCTAACAATAATGGCAATTGGGGTGAGGTGGGAAGATCTCGAACGGTTCACATAACTTAGAGAAACAGGTTGGCGCGTGCATAGTTGACTTGGTTGGCTAATTGAGATACAAGTTTTACCAAATTGAGTAAATTAGTGGAAATTTCACATAACTTAGAGAAACAGGTTGGCGCGTGCATAGTTGACTTGGTTGGCTAATTGAGATACAAGTTTTACCAAATTGAGTCAATTAGTGGAAATTGAGGTCTTTATTCTTGGCTCAGGGGTTTGATCATTAGGGCTTCAGCACTTTGTCCAAAGTTAAGATCTTATCCAACTATCTCAATAAATGTGTTTAAACAAATTTCAAAGGAGGAAATGTAATTAAGAAGTTATTCTGACTTAATTTTTTGTGAGTGAATTATGTACGAACACAAAGTAATAATAAATTACGAAATGAGTCAATTTTAGGTTAAAATTACACGGAAGGTCGATTGATATGAGGTTTTTTATGTTATTCACAATTACCTCTTGATATGAGGATACCATCCCTAAAATGCATTTTAAAAAAAAAAAAAAATTTAAAGTTTTTTCGACAGTAGAGCTATGCCTTAATGTTTGGAGCAATGCTCACTTGATCCGATATTAGCATCATCAGACTAACTTCTGTGGTGCTCTTCAAAGCGGTATGAGGTTGGCATCCTCGGACCATAAAGATTGACTTTGGTAAGCATCAGACGTGGTCCGACCTTTTGTCTAATTTTTGGAAAAAAAAATAAAAATATGCATTGACCGACCTTTCGTATAATTTTTGGTCAAAATTGGCACATTTCGTATTTTCCTTTTTTTTGTTGTTCGTATGTAAATTACTCTAATTTTTTCTATCAATGCATATGGTTGCTTATGCTTATGAGGCTGAGAAAGTACACATAATTAAACACATTAAAGTGTAATATGTTTCATATATTTTGCTAAGTGTATGAAACATCATCTCCAAATGTCGCATACTCAACAGTGGATTGTGGATGTGAGCTGCTTTCCTGCTCAAGACTGTCCATTGTCTGTACAAGCTGAAAAGAAAGCTCGTTATTGTGAAGAGTATTAAGTTTCTCTGAAGAGACTCAGTGTTCATTAATCATATGAATATACAGACTTGTCTTTTATAGACAAATTACAAATGACCATAATAGAAACTAAATCATAGATACCTAAACCATACCCAAACTTACAATAAAGTATATATACTCTATCAACTCTTCCCATAAATATTTATTGCAATATATATGTTCTATACTAACCCGATACACAATATTTCCTTTCAAACTCCTCCTCAAACTCCAAATGCTATTAGAGAGAGCAGCTAGAGTTTGAATGCCAAGTCGTGAAAACGAGTAGTTGGATATTTAGCTGCATAGCGTAACCATTAGAAACAACAATGGTTTCCATGCTCAGATTGCTTGATCATCAAACACAAAAGAAGTGGCGGATCAACAAGCCTCAGAAATAGAAGGCAAAAAAGGAGCGGCAATTTAGAGTTTAGCAATGAACAAAAACTTCAAATCTTCATCGGAGACAGGGAAACAGTCGAGACAGCCGAGAAAAACAGAATGGCACTTGAAAGGGCCAATAGAACTCGAAGTGGATCAGAGACAAATTCAGCAGCTTGCAGATCAGAAGAGATATGATCGAGTAATATTACAACATACTCAATCATATAAATAAGAACATACAATGTGAAGATAAGAGAGTCGAAATATGACTCAACAGAGAGCTTAGATCTGAGGTGCGAGCTCAAATAATGAATAAACATAATAAAGATGAATTTGGCTCTAATACCATGTGAAAAGTCTCAGGTTTATCTGAAGAAACTCAATGTCCATTAATCATATGAATATACAGACTTGTCTTTTATAGACAAATTACAAATGAAAATAATAAAAACTAAATCATACCCAAACTTACAATAAAATACATATACTCATATTAACCCTTCCCATAAATACTGATTGCAAAATATACTTTCTATATTAACCCGATACACAATATATATTTACTTTCAATATACTTTTTATGGGCTTAATATAGAAAATATATATTGCAACCAGTATTTACGAGAAATGTTGATAGCGTATATGTACTTTATTGTAAGTTTGAGTATGGTTTAGGTATCTATGATGTAGTTTCTATTATTATCATTTGTAATTTGTCTATAAAAGACAAGCCTGTACGTTTCTATGATTAATGGACACTGAGTCTCTTCAAAAAAACCTGAGACGCTTCACATGGTATCAGAGCCATATTCATCTTAGTTGTATCCATTCCTTATCCCTAAAGCTAAGCATTGTTGCCACTTTTCAATACAAGTTTGTGCTCACTTAGTTAGTGCAACTTTTGTCGAGTTGTGTTTCGACTCTCTAATATGTCCTCTCTGTCGAGTCGTTTTCGACTCTCTAATCTGTTTTTCTTTTTGGGATTTTTTTTCTCAATAATTTCTCGGATCCACTATCTCTCTGGGATTGTCTGACTGATTTGTAAGAGATAAGTGGCGTATGTTCTTTTGTCTCCAACTCAAAGCTCTACATACTACTGAAGATCCACTGCATGTTTCTGCATCTTAGTGGTCAAACTCCAGCTATTCTCTCAGAGCATTTCGAGTTTGAGGGGGAGTGTGAAAGGAAAGTACATATTGTGTATTAGGTTAATAAGGAAAGTAAGAATTGTAATCAATATATATGGGAAGGGTTAGTAGAGTATCTGTACTTTATGGTAAGTTTGGGTATGATTTAGGTATTTGTGATTTAGTTTCTATTATTGTTATATGTAATTTGTCTATAAAAGACAAGTCTGTATATTCATATGATCAATAGACACAAGGAGTCTCTTAAGAGAAACCTGAGACTCTTCATAATTGCCACGATAATTACCATGAACACTGGATATGAGATGTACCACTATGTTGATTTGATGCATATAACACTGTCTACAATCCCAAAAAAGTATGTTGTGAGATAGAATTATTGAAAGGAAAATTGTTTCATGTGGGCTGGACCGCATGACTACATATGCGGTCCAAAAAGTGTAACGCATCCATCTCAAAGATGGATGCAAGTAGATGTTCCATCTAAAAACAATGGAAACTAACAGTCTAAGTGTTTTTTTACTAGAATTATTTTTTCTAGGTTTCAAATTTTTTTTATTTTTTCATATTCATGGTCTCCATGTTAGAGATTACACGTCCTTAAAAATTAAGTCAAAAAATTCATCTCAAAAATAGATTTATTAATAGGCCCCTATTTCCATGGCTTGGTCGCATAGAAACTAAATCCTTATTGAAATGGTGAGATATGGTTCTTAATTGACAAGCCAATAATCATTTGTCACTTTCTTAGTGATAAATCAATTCAATAAATGTCCCCTGAGAAGCACCCTCATCAAAAGGCAATTGGAAACGAGTGATGTGGGCCTTTCCGTGGCAATGACCATGCTCGAGTTAAGTGGCTTCAATTTGCTGCCCTTTTATAATGGTTGGCCCAGCATTAGAAAGCATTCTGATGTCAAGAAGAATGTGTATTTAGGAGAGGGGGTGGGTCGTGGGCGGTAGCACCCCTTATTTAGTTACCATGGCTTCCAATATACCACTCAGAAACTTTTAAAAAAACTAATTTGTTAATCTATACGAACAAACGGATAGGGGCTTATCTTATTCACTTAATTACCCAAAAAAAAAAGAACGAGTATTTCGTAAAATTGGATGGGAAATTTTCCATTTTCACTTGTGACTTTCACTTCATCCAAGCTAGATTACCCAGTATTAAAATATCTGTCTCAAGCCATTCAACTACTCTTGCTAAGGTCCCCTGCTTGCTTAAATCCGGATGTACAAAAAGATAAGTGAGAATGTTTGGCATGCTCAGGAATGGCCTTTGGGTTTGGGTGGTCAAAGTCACGGGCACGACATGATGTTTAGAACTCCATTCTGACCGAGGTTTAAAGTTATCTTTTAGAAAAAAAAAAAAAAAAAAAGAAGAAAAAAAAAAATGCATCGTGTAACTTAAACCGCGGCAACACCACTGCTGCTTAGATCCATTATCTCTATTGATGCTTTGCTTTCAGTGGGTTTAATTTTGGAAACCTTTGGACGTGGACCACGAACTCCACTACAATGGATATCCTTAGAAGTGGGTCAAATCAACCTAGCGGACCAAGAACCCCTCTACAAATTTGCAGCGATAGGACTCTGCACTCATCGCAATTCCTCCCAGCAAAGTCAATACTTTCTTGAAATCTCTCTCCAATCATGCAGGTTCACACGACAGAGCCTAATAAGAAATTTTCTAAAAAGAAATTACTTGGAATCTTATTGTAATGGACCCCCAAATG